TGCATGTCTATATATATGATTTGACAGATTCGTATGTTCCGTCCTACTTTGTGACGTCACTGGGATAAGGGGATTTTAGTGATTTTAAATAGGTCCATTGTTCGTTTCACGGATCTGTTAACTAGTTGCATCTCTTTTTAGCTAGAGGCTTTCGCGAAAGCATCTCGAACTCCCTTGGGCTCACTCAGAAAAGGGACGCGATTAGCCAGAGCACAAAGGCGTACCATATATAAAGATTAACACGTATGAAAAAAATAAAATTAATAAAATTGAATTTATATTTTTATGTTATTTATTTTAAAATATTGTGTTTGTTAAATTGTAATTGGGTACTCACTGCACAAATGAACCAATGGAGAAACCGCCCCTGGTAATAAATGAAACAAGAAAGTGGTAGGTCTGTACGCACTGGGTAATTAAAAAAAAAAACTATTAGGTATTCTTCTTGATTTCAGTATCTATGTATTCAGAAACTCTCTTTATATTACATCGAAATTTTAAATTTTAGAGAAAATATTTTCATAAGGGTAAGGTATAATAGGATAACATGTTGGTATCGTTGGATAGGTAATTCCGTTATGAAATAATTGATGAAGGAATAGATGATGTTAACGAAAGACATACTGCAGTTGCATGAGCTTTGCAGCATCTATCAGTTTACATAGCAAGTAATAAAAGTAGGATTTTATTTTTAAGGGAACTGTAAATTATCATTTCGAACATCTGTCTATAATTAACGGTGTCAGCATACATTTTTCCTTTTTTCCTTGTCGTCTTCTTTAGTTCTATGGGCTCAGTTTTTCACTAGGACTATCTTGGGAGTACGTGCAGTGTTACCAGAATACATATTGGTTATGTATTAGATTTGTATGAGAAATGTACCAGATTCCATAAAAATGTATCGATTATATGAATTGTACCATATATTTCGAATTGTGATGGTTGACGCTTTGGTTGATTGAAGAGCAAAAAAAACTGTTTTTTATCGAGAACGAACACAAGTAAAGAACACATCAATATATTTTACCTGTCCAAATGGAAATAGCCTAAAAAAAGAAAATATACAAGATTTTGCTTCGAGTGTGTACCAGATTCTTAAATAATGTACTAGATCTAGTACAATTGTAATAGACTAACAACACTGGCTACCTGGCTTGCCTAAAAGCGCGTGTTGTGCCTCTTATGGCTAATTTTAGTAAAATAAATAATGTTTTTAAAAACGATAGATGGCAAAAGCTCTTGTAATGACCTTGCAATGGCAATATGTCTTTCGATTATTTCATCTATTTAAAAAAAATAGTAAATGTATCTTAAAGATAGGCACATTTAGAACACGACCCTAAACACTAAGTATAAATTGAATCATTTTATATCATTATACGTTCTATGTAATTTAAACATTTTTGAAATTTTAGAATTCAGTGTTAACATTCCAGAATTGGTGCCATTCGTTTGTGGATATCAAAGAATTTTAATACTTATATGTCTTACAATAACACTCTCTATATTATATACTTAGATATCAATGATAAAAATATGTCCGAAGATGGAGATGCTTTCTCACTCTAAAGCAACTAAATTCGAAAGCAGGTGGCGCTGCACATTATTTAGCGAGAATAGTGGGAAATTTAAAATATCATACTTGCACATTATACTGTAAGATCCCACTCATGAAACACAATAGTGTTTGCGTTATCTTAGAAAATTGTAAAAAATGCTCGGGGCAGCGAGCCGACTTAGAAGGTTCACTATTGTGTATCGATATCTGCAGTCAAGCCAGGCCGAGCGCAGTAAGTAGTTAGATAGGTAACCACCGCAATGAAAGTCAGCGTACATCCGAACAAACTGCTCGCGTAGTTGCATACCACAGTAGGCAGGAGTTAAATGAATGAGTATGAGGTAGCGTGAGGTGTGCCATCTTTCGGACAAGATGTAAAGCCGTCGGTTCCTGTGGTTAATATTAGGCCTTTTTGTTCCATTTGCGTGCTCGATCTTCTAATAAAATTGTGTGGGTATTACCCCGACCACCCTGCATATTGTCAATTTTCATACTAAAAATCTAAGCAAATATTTTACTGCGCTTGAAAACCATTTAAACATCATTGTAATTAAAAAGTAGGTACACAAACACAAGAAAAAAAAGAAGATACAGGTAAAGAAAAACTGGCAAATAAGATTCGTTATCTGATATCTCAGATAGACACTTGGTCAAATAAAATGAGTAAAGTAATTCATGAGATTTCTAACACAAAGAAGGATATAAAATTAAATGCCGCGAAGATAAGAACTGCTTGCTCAACCTTAATGACTACGGAAATGCAAGAAATATTACAAGGGCTAGGAAAATTATCAAACCAGGTTAAAGAAACAACGAAATCTGACCATCAAACAAACTCTAAGCAGCAAATTAAAAGGAACGCAGAAACAGGAACACAGACAGAACCTTGGCATGAAACTAACCAGTTTCTACTGGAGACCCTAGACAAAGGCGATACTTATAACTCATGGAAGCAAGAACATGGAAAAGACTGGAAAGAGGACCTATTTAAGAATATAGATCTCAAAGTTGGAAATTCCTTTGAAACAGAAGAGCAAATGGTAAAGGTTGTGTTGGTCGAACCAAATGATCCGGAAACGAATAGGAGCTTCCAGAGAACGTTTAGGGATAAATACCCTGACTTAACACAAACCTATGAGCCTTTCGAAGTTCTCGAACAGACCACTAGGCTGAGAACAAAAGCAGAAAATAAACAAAATTATTTAAATAGTAACTGGCGGCCAAGAGGAAGAATTGTGGCACATATTAAGATAACTAAAAAACGAAGTTAAAGAAAACGAAAAGATAGCTATTCATGCAGTCAGCTACATGACTTACACGAAACTTAAAAAATGGTCTTGGCCATCTTCTGGAAAAGTGGAAACCAAATCACCATATTCACCCCATCGCAGTCTGCCTCGCAGAAGAGCAAGCGAAATACAATTCGCATAGTGGTCAGCGCTAAGGAAAAATCCTATAAGGAAGTGCTTGGAGAAGTTAAAACGCTAATGGGAAATAATTTATCGAGACAGGCTATTACATCGTTAAGAAGCACTAGAGAAGGCAACTCACTGATCACCCTCGAGGACGAAAAAGCGGCCAAGTAAATTCGAGAGGTTTTAAAAGACAAACAAAATTCTCTTACATGCAGACAAATTGGAGGAGACAAAAACAAAGAAATAGGTCACATTAGAGGCCTAGACATAGAAGCAAAAAAAGAAGACATAGTTAAGGCTATAACTGATCAGGTTAGCAAATAGGACCAAGAAAATGTCATTAGCGACTTAAGACCTCTCGCACAAAATGTCATGGCTGTATGGTTATGATGAATAAAGCGGATTCCGAAACTCTGCTGAGAGAACAGACAATTAGAATAGAAATGGTTAAATGTAAAATAGAGAAAAGACTAAAAGTCAACAAATGCTACAAGTGTTGGGCCTCGACCATTAATCTAAGCACTGTACGGGACCAGACAGGACAAAGGCATGCTCTAAGTGTGTAAAAGAAGACCATCACCACAAAGAGTGCAGCAATAAGGAAGCGTGTCCAGTGTGTAAAACTGAAGGACATAAAGCAGGCGTTGGTAAGTGCGAAGCATTTAGGAAGGCACTAAATCACGAGAGGAGATGACATCGATACAACAGCAGACAAGAGCCAATGCAGACTGAAACAGACTCTGAAAAGACAAAAGAGCAAGAAAATTATGGAGATCCTGGTGCAGTCTTACCACAGAAGATAACGCCGGTGGAACAGATCAAAGGAGATGGGCAATTTTAACAACATTATAGATGAGGCACAAAAAACGATGGTAGAAATTAAGCATTTGGGACCCACCTCCTCTCCTCCTATTAATAAATAATAATAATAATACTGATGCCTTGGTAGGATTCCCCACTTGACCATTCACTGTTGGGTTCTAATTAACAGTGCTGTTCCTAAAGTGGCGCTGGGAAACAGTAACAAAGCCTACACAGAACACGAGGCGAAATAACCTTAGCAGTTGAAGCCGATGACACACAAAAAAAAAAAAAAAAAAAAAAAAATAATAAAAAAACAAATATGAACACAGTGAGTCATCGGACAGCTCACAATAATTCAAACCACATTAAAAACCCGAATATGAAGATACTACAAATAAATATGGACAGGGATAGGGAAGCCACATACCTAGTTTATAAGATTGCAGCAGTATAAAACGTGGACATAAGAATAATGGCTGAACCAAACAAGAAAAAGATCACTAAATCGAAATAGCTCTTGGATAATAGAGGCGACGTGGCTATAAATGTATGCAGTAAACAGATACAAATATTAAAAAAAGGGATAGGAGATGGTTTTGTATGGATTGAACCTACTAAGATCGTAATATATGGATGCTATATATCTTCAAATGTCGATAGATCAAAATTTACAGATTTGCTGAATGCACTTAGAAATGATATGAAACAACATAAGAAGGAAATTATGGTAGGTGGGGACTTAAATGCCAAATTATATCTATGGTGTTCAAAAATAGAATAAAAAGGGGAGAAACACTGGCGGAATGGTTAGCAGATGAACTACTTGTCCACAATCAAGGTGATATACCAACATTCATAAGAAGAGAAAGGGAGTCATACATAGACGTTACTTTTAACACGAAAAATATTGCCAAGCACTTAAAAAACTGAAAAGTCCTTGGGGAAGAAAGTCTCAGCTATCATCAATACATTGTCTATGAAATACAAACAACGGGAAAAATGGAACAATCACAAACAAAAAAAAGGTTGGCGAGTTAAGAAAGACAAACTACATAAACTATCCGAGTAAGTGGATAAGATACTCAGAACCAAAGATGAATTAATTAACGCAGAAGAACTAAGCAAAATCATAGAGTCAGCATGTAATATAGTATTTCCAAAAAAGACTGTAGGAAACCAGTATATTGGTAGTGTGAGGATGTGGCATAGAGAAGAAAGAGCTGCCTGAAGAATAAAAAAGCTATGGTAAGGGCAAATAAACGAGAGGACGAGAGAACAAAAATTGATTTTTTGTGCGGCTTTTCAATACCATTCCTTATAAATTTTTTAATAATATGGGCAGACGAAGGTTAAAAATTCTACTCATGATTTTATCAAATTACTTACTCTTTAGATAGGAGCGACTAGTCTCATATATCTTAAAGGGATTTCTTAGGATTCCATTTTAATAGTGGCACCCCAAGCAACGACTCGAGCGTAATTCAGATTTGATATTTAAAGACGTAATAACAAGAAATGACGCAATAAAGAACCTCTCGCCCGTTCTGAATATCTGAATATGAGATTGTTACTCTTTCTACCCAACCCAACTTTAATTTCTTTCGCTATAATTCAGCGACATTTAAATATCTCCCGACATTTTTACGATGCCGAAGAATTATTGGAGTAAATTACGTTTCACTTTTGAAATATTTAAATTTGAATTACTGAATTATATCCTTTTCAGCGACATTTAGAATTTCAGATATTCGTTTAAAAGAGGAAATTTCGTTTTCTATTCATCATCGCTTCGAACAGCCTCGTTCTCTTGCTTTGCGAGGGTTGAAATATTCAATTTATTGCGGTACGAAATTAATATGTCGCTAAAATTGAAAAAAAAAGTAATAAAATAAAGAGTCCAAGTATTCAAAAGGATTCATGTAAATTGAATAAATGTAATTAATAAAATCAAGGAAATAAGACTTGCAAAAGTCGCTTTTAAATCCATCATACAAGTAATTTAGTAATTAATGTTAATCTTTTGTGCATGAAAACACATACAAGGTTTATAGCAAGGTTTAAGAAAATAGAATAAAAAAATGAACGCATAAATAAATGGAAAAACTTATTTATTTAGTTCAAATGATCGTAATTTAAAAATATTTACAAATCTTTCTTGAATGTTCGATTATACAAAGATAGAACATAAGACACTGCGTATGATCCTACTTCTAAACTATTGACACCGACCAATCACAGTTGAGTTAAGTTGTTCGACCAATTTAATTCAGTTCTATTGTTTAAACGATAATTAATTTGATATTTTAGTGACATAAATTTTGTAACATCATTATTATTATTATAAAAATAAGATATAATATTTGGTTTGGCGAATGAACTCGCTGTCACAAAATTCAAATTAGCAAAAATAAAAAATAAACTATTTTGTAATTTTCAATATACCGGGTGTTCAAATTAAAGTGTTACAGTTAAATACCGCCTTTTATAAAAAAACGTTTCAGACGAAAGTTTTATAGTTTTTTGGCGAAAACATTTTGGCTAAAAACGTTTTTTATAGCTAACCATAATATGGTTCTGCGCAGTAAAATTTTTAAGTAGGTGTTACTCAATAAGTAAAAGTCCAATAAAAAAAATATTTCCTTTAAAAGTTTCTAAATTTTTTATGAACTTTAAAAATATGTAAAAAAATGGAGTTCCAATTTGAAAAATAGTCCACCTCGATATGGTCATATTATAGTCAGCTATAAAAAAATTTATTTAGCCACAATATTTCGCCCAACAAACTATAAAACTTTTGTCTGAAACTTTTTTTATAAAATGCATATTTTCGGCGGTATTTAACTGTAACATTTTATTTTGAACCCGGTATATGCATTTGTTTTTTTATCGACAAGCTACAAAAATTTGTATTTTCTAAATCCAATAAATATTAATATTATATTATTAGAGTAAAGTCGGCATATATGGAATACCAATTATTTTTATAGTGATAACATCAAACCATAAGTGTTTAGAGCTGCAATATTTCTTTCATAAATAGTTCTAAGTATCTCCAAGGAGTGACAGGTGCTAAATTAAAAAGTAAATCATATTCGGTAATTTTACAAAAATAATTAAAAGAAGTGCATTTTTGTTCCAAAATAAAAAAATGGAGGGTAATATGGAATGGTCATATCGGGTAATATGGAATAGACTTATTATGGGTAAAAAACTTTACTAAAATCATTTAACTTCAGAACATCAATATATAAGAACATCTATGAATTACAGAAATCGCAACTAAAAACATCATTTTCTGCACTGAGCCCATTCATTGCAGATTACGCATTGTACCCATCTTTCTCTACTTCGGCTCAAGGAAAACTTTTCTTGGCAAAAAATACACGGGATATCTTCATCGGTTGGCTTTTTATTGTAGCAGCTTAATGGCAGATCTTCATCAGATGAATCATCAACTACTGGTTCAGATTGTGAATCAGAGGAACTAGAAGAGACATATTTTTTCGTGACTTTACACTTCTTGGTTTGTAATTCACTAGGTTCAGGTTCATCGAAAACGTTTCGGGTAACTTTTTGTCTTGAGAGATTAATTGATTGCCCCAATTCTTCCTTATTCGGCGTCGACGTAATTATTTTGGAACGTCCACATTTCCTTCCCCAAATTGCCGACCTCTTTGTTAGTTCTGGCACTGGAACTATGTCACTAGGATAAATATTAGGCGAGTTATTTTGCTCTTTATCAGGACGTGTATTATCGTTCGGCAAATTATGATTTTCTTTTTGCATTTCGGCCGCAAATTTTGCATCTGTGAAAATATTTCTTCCTAAGGGATAGATCCCAGTGGCACTAAACCCTTTAACAGCTCTTTTCCCAGATTTTACTTTAAGATAGGCGCTACCAAATAACTGACAAATATCAAAATGTGTTACTGCACGTTTTTTCGTTCTCATGAAGATTCTCACTTCTTCGTTATAGAAGGTCTTTAATGCACCCATGTCGGTCTTGTCGAGGGGCTGAAGTTTATGCGTCGTTTGCGGTGGTAAGCATAAAA